GCTAGCTAAGATTTTGAAAGTATGATGTTGACATGATCAGTCCAATCAAAGATCTAATGTGATTTGTCGTAATTCTATCTGTGGCCAATGACCTTGAGCCTTCTTGGATGTGCACTTTTAATGTAAGTCTATGGCAGCACCCAAAGGGCTTGATTTTTTTTGCTCTACCTGTAGATTTTGCGGTGACATAGTGTCCCCATGAGTGACAGAACACTGATCCAATCACGGCACAACTAGAGAACATTACCAACCCATACGCTCCGTATTTTCCGCTGGCTGCCCCACCACCACAGAAAGCACTGAGCTAGGCTGAGACACCTGCACTTTGGAGCTGCCTTAGTCAATAAAGCAAAAAAGAGACCATGTTTGTATGCGGTTTTATTAAATCAATGATTTTTACATTTTTACATTTTGCAAACTGGTATGTGACACGTATTAATGCCAAAATAAAATGCAAAACAGCCCAAAAAAATAAAGTATTTTTATTTATTTGTTGCTAAACATCATGCGTCATTCAGGGCAGGTGGGGCAGAGCCGAACCTGTTTTGAGCCCCACCTGCCCTGAATGACGCATCGCCACTGACCAAGACATTTAGTAGAAATAAAATGCATCTAGCTACCATACAATACACTGCATAATAAACAACACAGCAGCACATCAATCAGCAACGTTTATTGTTGTCAGGGGGAAAAATACCCAACATTTTACACCGGAGCAGAATTATACTATCTGTAAAGGTACCGAACTGATGCAGAATTGTTTTTTAATGTCTGAAAAGTTATCAATTGTAGCTATCAACATGTTACTGTATCTGTGTTCTATGTCTGTAAACGGTTGCGGTAAATATAACTTCATTGCCCGGCCCTAGCGATCATACATGGATAATAGGACCATTATTCTTCATTGTAAATTGACGTGGAATTTTAAGATTTGTTCTTATTGTTTTAACAGAAAAACTATATAAAAATGGCGGTTTAAACATTAAGCGAAATTGTCCATTTGTCACATCCCTAATTGAAAGTGTACCATTTTTTATGAAATAGTGTCAAACATACTACAGGCAAATCAAAGTTCTGGTGGTTTTAAAGTGTCTGTGTCCCATAGGCTTAAGATTCTTTACTTGTGCATTCGTATTTCATGTTTTCCATTCTGGTTTGTGTCTGACAATCTTTTGTCCTGTTCTTTGTTTCTTTTCCAGAGATCTAATCCTGAACCCAAGTAGTTACTGAAATGAGGAGAAGCCAGAACATTGTGATTACAGGTTACTGTGAATTATGACATAAACCATTATTTATATATAAAGTTGAAGTCGGAAGTTTACATACACCTTAGCCAAATACATTTAAACTCAGTTTTTCACAATTCCTGACATTTAATCCTAGTAAAAATTCCCTGTCTTTGGTCAGTTAGGATCACCACTTTATTTTAAGAATGTGAAATGTCAGAATAATAGTAGAGAGAATGATTTATTTCAGCTTTTATTTCTTTCATCACATTCCCAGTGGGTCAGCAGTTTACATACACTCATTTAGTATTTGGTAGCATTGCCTTTAAATTGTTTAACTTGCCCCGTGTAGCTCAGTTGGTAGAGCATGGTGCTTGCAACACCAGAGTTGTGGGTTCGATTCCCACGGGGGGCCAGTATGAAAATGTATGCACTCACTAACTGTAAGTCGCTCTGGATAAGAGCGTCTGCTAAATGATTAAAATGTTTTAAAACATTTAATTTGGGTCAAACGTTTCAGGTAGCCTTCCACAAGCTTCCCACAATAAGTTGGGTGAATTTTGGCCCACTCCTCCTGACAGAGCTGGTGTAACTGAGAGGTTTGTAGGCCTCCTTGTTCGCACACGCTTTTTCAGTTCTGCCCACAAATGTTCTATAGGATTGAGGTCAGGGCTTTGTGATGGCCACTCCAATACCTTGGCTTTGTTGTCCTTAAGCCATTTTGCCAAAACTTTGGAAGTATGCTTGGGGTCATTGTCCATTTGGAAGACCCATTTCCGACCAACCTTTAACTTCCTGACTGATGTCTTGAGATGTTGCTTCAATATATCCACATAATTTTACTTCCTCATGATGCCATCTATTTTGTGAAGTGCACCAGTCCCTCCTGCAGCAAAGCACCCCCACAGCATGATGCTGCCACCCCTGTGCTTCACGGTTGGGATGGTGTTCTTCAGCTTGCAAGCCACACCCTTTTTCCTCCAAACATAATGATGGTTCATTATGGCCAAACAGTTCTATTTTTGTTTCATCAGACCAGAGGACATTTCTCCAAAAAGTACGATCTTTGTCCCCATGTGCAGTTGCAAACCGTAGTCTGTATAATTTTTATTTTTATTTACAATATTCTAATTTATTATAAAAACAAAAGGCAAAATGTTATTTAGTTGTTTAGCTATTACTCAGGACTATCTGAAATCCAATTGGCTATCCATTCTATATTCAGATTTCTTAAATCTTTCTTCTGTTATATTATTCAGAGTCAGAGTGCATTCTCAGTGTGGTGCTTAAGTTAGTTTTGAGACTACTAACCCTTAGCCTTCTCTTTGATGTACTTACTTTTAACTGAAGGAATTGATTCCTTTTAAATTCAGGTTGTATGCTGATAATGTATTTTTGTACTTGAACCAAATAGTAAAATAATCATATTTGGAGGACAAAGATTTGATTTAATTCACTTAATTGAAAGTAAAAGGCAGATTTTGTTTTAAACATTTGATTCCTTTTAGTAGCTTCAATATGATACAGCAGCAGGTAGCAATGTTGGAACTAACATAAGTCGTGTGTGTGTGTGTAACCAATCTTTATTTTGAAATCACACCTTTATTTTGAAAAACGATCCACAAAGTAGCAGACATTTTTTGTTTCCGGAACAAAAACAAACAAAAAAGAGAACCTGCGAGAAGCTAGCCACAATAAGGATTAGCCGCAATGGTGGAATTTGCGGTTCGCCTTCAAAATAAAACTTCCCCATTCACTGATTCAAACGGATACAAGCGGAATCATGCCTTGGGTGCGTTTGTAAATTCCCTCTGGCTATCTACTCCGATTTCAGAGAACTCTCGTTTGAGTGTGGCAGAGCTCAGAATAACTAAGTTTACGAGCGCGCAACACCAGTTGAATATGACGGGTGTCAGTAAAGGTTGGCAAAAAACGGAATTCAATTGTTGCAAGCAGCACAGTTAGTCACTAATGCTCTAGATAACATGAAAACAGCCTAACTAGCTCTTCTAGGGCAAGTAAAATGGTCAGAGTGAGGTGTTCTCTCATTTGTGTCTGGAAGTAGCTAGCAAACTAGCCAACTTTAGCCAGTTAGCTTTGGCGCTTGACTGCAGTTGTGAGGTCAGAACGCTCAGATCAACCCTACTCCTCAGCCAGAGCGAAACGCTCTGAATTTAAGAACGGACAAACTGACAACACTTTGAATTTACGAATGGAGGCAATTTACAAACGCCCCCCCTTATTTTGACTAGATCATTCAAACAAGGTTGGAATATTATATAAATCATTTGGTTATTTTGATACAAAAAAAGTACAAAAAACAGTTGAAATCCCATTGTGGATGTATTAGACTAGAATTGCATTGGGGGCATACTTATATGCACTGTACAGCCTTACCTATGGATCTTGGGTCCATGAAATGGGTTATCAGCATGGGTTATCAGCCTACTCAGTTACACCAACAAATTACAATTCTGAAGAGTTCACACAGATATTAGCGTTGTAGTTTATATTGTGGGACTCTGAAACCACTCTGAAAATAGCCACATTAAGCTCTGAGTAGGCTGATACCCTATTGCAATATGTATGTTCAATACCCACAATAGGCGGAATAGTGAGCTGATTTCCCACAATTAAAATACCCTAATATGAGCTACGATGCTAATATGTGTAAACTCTGAAGTATTGTAATCTGTGGGTGTCACCGAGTAGGCTGTTACCCCATTTCATGGACCCAAGATCCATAGATAAGGCTGTACAGTGCAATGTAAGTATGCCCCTAATGCAATTCTAAAGTCTAATACATCCACAGTGCGATTTAAACTAACTTTTTTTGTGTGGAATTAACCAATTATTTTTGTTACATTTATATAGCATTCCGAAATTCTTTAGCATTATCTAGTCAAAATATGTCATGATTCCAATATTTGTAACCATTTGAATCACTTCCATTAGTGGACATTTATTTTGAAAGCGAACATTAAATTCCACTATTGTGGATAATCCTTATTGTGTCTGGCTTCACAGGTAAAAAATATATATGTGTGAAGCATACCGTGTGAACTGTGAGGACGTTGACTGAACACTGCAATGCAAATTACTATAACATAAGTGTTTAACATAGACATAGTGCCAAGGACATGACCGATACCGTCGCCTTTCATGCTCAGCTAGCCTCCATCATTGAGGTTTTGGCGAATGCAGCCGTTGCCGAAATCTGCAAACTTGTAGATGACGGCCATGCTGCCTTACGTTTGGAAATTTCCCATAGCCAGAAAGAAATCAATAACCTGCGGAGAAAGCTGATGTTGACAAAATACCAGAGTTCTCAACAGAGCGCAGAGAGATTTGGAGCCCTGCGACGCACAGTTCACAGGCGCGTGGACACCGATCATGTTGCCCGGGAAGAGAGAGCTTCGTTGGAAAGTCCACAGGCAGACTTGGATATTGTAGGTTTTTTACCATATTTCAACACGTTCAAAATAATGGGTCATGTAGAATATATAACGTTTATGAGGGTTTCTGTTTTCTGGTGCAGTGGAGAATCGTTTTGCGGACAGTGAAGGGGGCATCTTAAAGCAGGATGTCACCATCTGGAGAGACTCAGGATGCACAGCGACAGACCAGGATGGGGGCATGCAGGTCAGTTGTCATAGACACTGTCACATTATTTTTCCTTCATATTTCAAATGGTGGTGGGGATATTTTTCTAATAAAATGTTTCTGATGAATACAAAACAGATGGCAGATATGCAAGACGCACCTCTTATCAAAATGGAGAACCTTGACACCAGCAGAACAGAAGGTATTTTTGTGCAACTTATCAAATCTATGCAATTTACACTTTATGTTGAGTGAAGCCGTCAAGGTTTATTACAGTATTTGATTAACTTCTTAGTCATAACCCATCACTAATAAATAAGGCAAAGAAGAATCAGTCTCCACTACAGGAAGCTGATGTTGTGCTTTACTTTGCCCCATTTCAGAGATTGTCCAACCGGTCAGTGAGACCAGTGACAAGATCGTTGTGGCAGAACCAGGTGCTTCATCATCTATTGAAACCACAGACCTTCTGGACCAGCAGGGTAACAGACACAGAGCTCCAGACACCACACTCAATATAGAACCTGAAAACCAGACGTTCCAGCATCCAGCGTCACCATACAACAGAGCAAGGCAGGACCATCAGGTTGCTGAGTGTGTGACCTGGGAAACTGACCATCAACCCATAGCATACAGCCTGTCTCAATGGACAGAGAAGCAAGAGACTGACAACCGAACTGTGAATGCTCCTCACAATGCAGGGCCAGACTCCAAGAGGCTGTCTGAACATCCAGAGAGGAGAGGGGCACCTGGTAACTCTGGGGTCTGCATGTCTGCTTTGGGCTCTCTGGACTGGCTGCCTGATGTGATGCTGGTGGACTCGGTTCCCATTAAAGTGGAGGCAGATATGAGTTCAGAATGGACGTCTGGAGAGGTCTGTTCAGAGGGCAGGCAGCTTGTGGACAACAGAGGAAGAGGGGGAATGGAGTCTGGACAGACAAAGTGTCCCACTGACACTCAAAACACAGAGCAAGGGAGAACTGTAGGATCAAGATCCAAGATGCCAGATTTCAATGGACTGTCCTCCCCAAACAGCTTTTCATCTCCAAGGGTTACTCTCCAACAGGTTCCCCAAAGAGGGAAGCCAGCCCCCTTCTTGAATTTCAACATATGCACCACTTCTTCATCGAAAGGCATAGAAAAGCAGCCGCAACAGCTAACGTCTCACTCGCCCAAGAGGCAGCTCCGGTGCACTCTTTGCGGAAAGCCCTTCCCCCAGCCGGCGCACCTGCGGAGGCACATGCGGGTCCATACGGGGGAGAAACCATACGGCTGCAGCCACTGCACCAAGCGCTTCTCCCACAGCCACCAGCTGAAGATGCACGAGAGGGTGCACACTGGAGAGAAACCGTTTCAATGTGTCTACTGCGGGAAGTGCTTCACCCAGTCAGGCCACATGAAGAAGCACCTCCTCGTCCACACTGGCAGCAGGCCACAGGACGTTGGGCTGTCCTGAGTGTTCCAGGGTGAAGTTTCCCCTAGGTACAGATCTAGGATCAGCTTCCTCTCCCCCAATCTTATCCTTAACCATTAGTGGGGGAAAATGCTACACTGACCCAACATCAGCATCTCGAGGCAACTTCACACTACTCTACTCGGCATAATGATAGGCAGGGCCAGGAGTTTTTCCTCACCACGTGACCAGACCAGGGAAAAACTCCTGTCCCTAGTTGTAAGAGGAATGGCTCCACACTACTGACGTTTTCTTATAAAAACTGTTTTTTTTTAACAGTTTGGATGGTTTCCCCATTGAACGCTACCTCTGTGTGTAGTGGTTGTGTATTAAGTTCAACTGGCTTGATGCTTGGTCCAGAGTGGACTGATAATGTATAAGTTATTACAGTTGAAGATTTTAAACATCCTCATGAATTTGTATTGGTGCAGTGATGAACCAAAGAACAGTAATTAAGAATTCAGGAAGCTCTGGACAGGTGCCTGGGTGAACAAGACCTGTTGGTTGTCGAGAGATCGTTGCTCGGCTCATCTCCTACCTGGATGCAGGAAAGAGGATGTAGGTTCAGGGAGGAGGAAGGCGCAGGGAAGAGCGCAATGATGACTGTCACTTTCTGGACATCGACATGGCAGAAGAGCAAAGTGACAGGTACCTGGACACCAGCACAGTCCTGGCCCTGGAAACGGACATGGCGACCTAGCAGGTGCAAAGCGAGAGAGTGCTGACTGGAATGGTAGGCTGTCAATGGTTGGGTTTATACAGGGCTTTATTGAACTATCTTGATACCCCTTTACCCTTTCCATCATATTCAGCGTAGGAAAACACTTGTCTATTCACATGCCAGTTTCAATGAGTTTTTGAGTCCCAGAATTACAATTCATAGAATTAGAACCCATTCAATTCAATCAGAATTCTCTATGGTTTATTCCTTTCCATTCTGACTATGTTTTTAGTAGGCTAAACAGGTTAGGATGTGCACCAGCACTGTAGACCTGGGGTCTTCAACCTTTTCTTTCCAATGGACCCTGCCCAGGCAAACCGGCCACCCAGGGACCCCCATCATATGTTAGCAAAACATTTTTTACATGTTTTGTCTTATCATCAGGTGAATGGCAAGGAAAAGTAGTGAACATTTTAAAATAAATAGATTTGATATATTATAATTGGAAGTATAAACTCTAACATAGCCTATTAGATAGAAAGGTAACTCCAAACACATTTTCACTAATAGCAGCTGTTTAGCTGGTTAAACAAAGGTTAGCCATGTGTTGGCAAAAATGAAGTTCAGAAAGCTTACCAGCAGCCTGTGGCACTTGTGAGTGGTATTCGCGGGTGCTTTTTCAAAGCTTGTGTCAGATACTCCAGTGAGTATAATTAGCTCCAATGAGTGTAATTTGCTCAATATTAGGAGGTGAGAAATAAAGTTGACGTCATTAGAAAGAAGATTATCCTCTTTTCTACTGTAGGTATATGTAGATGCTGCTAGCGGTATTATTATTTTTTGAATTCAATACCCCTAGGTGGCACGGACCCCCAGTTGAATACACCTGCTCTAGACCTAAGCCACTCACTCGCCTCTTCTTTATTCCCAGAATCCCCACAGGTACCCTGGTCTGGGGAAACCTCATCTCCTGGAGGTAAATACAGTACCTGTAGATTTATCTCCTCTAGAACAGGCAGAACATCACCTTCCTGCTTTCATAATATCAGATTTGAAACCACTCACTCATTGTTTGTGATTCTCCATACATGATGCTACTGAAAAGAATGCTTAGATTAACATTCATATAATAGACTAATACAGTTGAGGACAAATATATTGTATACAGTGGGGGGAAAAAGTATTTAGTCAGCCACCAATTGTGCAAGTTCTCCCACTTAAAAATATGTGTAATATTCATCATAGGTACACGTCAACTATGACAGACAAATTGAGAATTTTTTTCTCCAGAAAATCACATTGTAAGATTTTTTATGAATTTATTTGCAAATTATGGTGGAAAATAAGTATTTGGTCACCTACAAACAAGCAAGATTTCTGGCTCTCACAGACCTGTAACTTCTTCTTTAAGAGGCTCCTCTGTCCTCCACTCGTTACCTGTATTAATGGCACCTGTTTGAACTTGTTATCAGTATAAAAGACACCTGTCCACAACCTCAAACAGTCACACTCCAAACTCCACTATGGCCAAGACCAAAGAGCTGTCAAAGGACACCAGAAACAAAATTGTAGACCTGCACCAGGCTGGGAAGACTGAATCTGCAATAGGTAAGCAGCTTGGTTTGAAGAAATCAACTGTGGGAGCAATTATTAGGAAATGGAAGACATACAAGACCACTGATAATCTCCCTCGATCTGGGGCTCCACGCAAGATCTCACCCCGTGGGGTCAAAATGATCACAAGAACGGTGAGCAAAAATCCCAGAACCACACGGGGGGACCACCTAGTGAATGACCTGCAGAGAGCTGGTACCAAAGTAACAAAGCCTACCATCAGTAACACACTACGCCGCCAGGGACTCAAATCCTGCAGTACAAGACGTGTCCCCCTGCTTAACCCAGTACATGTCCAGGCCCGTCTGAAGTTTACTAGAGTGCATTTGGATGATCCAGAAGAGGATTGGGAGAATGTCATATGGTCAGATGAAACCAAAATAGAACTTTTTGGTAAAAACTCAACTCGTCGTGTTTGGAGGACAAAGAATGCTGAGTTGCATCCAAAGAACACCATACCTACTGTGAAGCATGGGGGTGGAAACATCATGCTTTGGGGCTATTTTTCTGCAAAGGGACCAGGACGACTGATCCGTGTAAAGGAAAGAATGAATGGGGCCATGTATCGTGAGATTTTGAGTGAAAACCTCCTTCCATCAGCAAGGGCATTGAAGATGAAACGTGGCTGGGTCTTTCAGCATGACAATGATCCCAAACACACCACCCGGGCAACGAAGGAATGGCTTCGTAAGAAGCGTTTCAAGGTCCTGGAGTGGCCTAGCCAGTCTCCAGATCTCAACCCCATAGAAAATCTTTGGAGGGAGTTGAAAGTCCGTGTTGCCCAGCGACAGCCCCAAAACATCACTGCTCTAGATGGAGATCTGCATGGAGGAATGGGCCAAAATACCAACAACAGTGTGTGAAAACCTTGTGAAGACTTACAGAAAACGTTTGACCTGTGTCATTGCCAACAAAGGGTATATAACAAAGTATTGAGAAACTTTTGTTATTGACCAAATACTTATTTTCCACCATAATTTGCAAATAAATTCATTACAAATCCTACAATGTGATTTTCTGGAGAAAAAAAATCTCATTTTGTCTGTCATAGTTGACGTGTACCTATGATGAAAATTACAGGCCTCTCTCATCTTTTTAAGTGGGAGAACTTGCACAATTGGTGGCTGACTAAATACTTTTTTCCCCCACTGTATACACTGAGTGGACAAAACATTAAGACCACCTTCCTAATATTGAGTTGCACCCCCCCTTTGCCATCAGAACAGCCTCAATTCGTCGGGGCATGGACTCTACAAGGTGTGAAAAGCGTTCCACAGGGATGGTGGCCCATCCAAACAGTCGTGGGTGAACAGGGAGTACAGCAGAGGGCTGAGAACACACCCCTGGGGGGCCCCTGTGTTAAGAGTCAGTGTGGAGGAGGTGTTGTTGCCAATCTTTACAGCCTGTGGTCTGCCCGTCAGGAAGTCCAGGATCCAGTGGCAGAGGGTGGTGTCCAGACCTGAGCTTGGTGTCCAGCTTGGAGGGAACAATAGTGTTGAATGCTGAACTGTAGTCAATGAACAGAATTCTCACGTAGGTTTTCCTCTTGTCCAGATGTGTTACGGCCATTTGAATAGTGATGGAAATGGCATCTTCCTTGGATCTGTTGGGAGTGGTAGGCAGATTGGAGTGGGTGCAGTGTACCTATGATGTTAAAGTGTTAACCTAAAGTGTTACAGCTCACGCGCTATTGAAAAAGGCCTTCTTCAATTGCGCAAGGGACGACGATTCAGGCTGATGAATACATTTCACAGATCCCCATCTGCTACCTTCACCATCTAAACTCAATCCACAACGACCCCAGTGGTTGAACCAGCACAACTGTAGATCCGAGTCCAGTGGCACCTTTGTGGGCTCCCGAGTGGCGCAGCGGTCTGAGGCACTGCATCTCAGTGCTTGAGGCGTCACTACAGACCCCCTGGTTCGATTCCAGGCTGTATCACAACCGGCCGTGATTGGGAGTCCCAAAGGGCGGCGCACAATTGGCCCAGCGTCGTCCGGGTTTGGCCAGTGTAGGCCGTCATTGTAAATAAGAATTTGTTCTTAACTGACTTGCCTAATTAAATAAAGGTTAAATAAATAATAAAAATTGTAAAGGACGTCACGCTGCCTGCTTAGCGAGTACCGCTTCCCCTGATTCAGCTCATATGGAGACTCGACCTCAGGACTTCTGCCTCGAAAACACACGTAACCGCTGTCCTGAAGCATTCCAACCCACCGTGACACTTCAGGCTGAGAAGTGAGTTTCACAGATCCCCATCTGCTACACTAATACAAGTCCTGAAGATCCAGCAAGCTTACTCATCAAAGGAGAGTCATTTGATGATCTATGCTTATGTGATGAGAACCTTGCCAGAGTCCTGAAGACGTGTTTGTTTGTTGTGTTAGACGTGTTAGTTTCAAGTCTCCGGCAAGGGTAGTCATCATAAGGTCAACGTGACTGACTGTGTTAGCCTGCTGAGCTAAAGCCTAGGCATTGGTCCTGTGACTTGGATGGGTCTCTTCAAGGAGGAGGTCAAAGTCCAACAGGTGGTTTGGTGACCACGCTTTTCTGATAAGTATCTTGTCAGAGACCTGAAAGGTTGCATTGTCTGGCACACAGGAGACCTGGGTTAGAACCCCATCAGTCAAACTAACACGTCTTAGGCAAGGTTTCTCATCACATGCATGGATCATCAAACCACTCTCATTAAATGGGTTGACCAGATCATTCTGCTTCTGTTTGCCACAGAAAGTGGTGTTGTGTAGTAGGCCTGATTTGGAACCCAGTCAGTTATATCGGTGCCGTGATCTCTGAGTATGAGGTCAATGGGGGGTGAAATGTAACTGAGGTGGTTCGATGAACCACTCTCTTTTGATGAGTAACCTTGCTGGAGACTTGAAAACTTGTGTTAGCTTCCTGAACTAATCCCTATGGGCTTTAGTTAAGTAGGCTAACACGGTCTTGTGACATGCAGGAGACCTGGTTCGAACCCATTCAGTCATAAGAGCAAGATTAAATATGGAGTGGAAAGAGTGTTTTTAATTATATCTGTTCCTCTCTACTTTTACTGGCTGGCAAAGTACCAGGATGTTGTCTCTGGTTTTGAATCTGATTTTAGAGAACTGAATTTTAAAAACGGAATCTAAATGCATCTACGAAGTTGAATATATAAAACTTTGTTTAAACTTGAAATTATAGTTTAACTTCATACACAGACAATTAATGAAATATCTACCATATTGAAACTGAATATATAAATATTGAATTTGAATATTCAATAAAAATCAAACATTGAAGAATTAGAGCAGTTTGCTGCTGAAGAGTGGGCCAAATTTCCAGAAGAAAGGTGCAGCAAGCTCATTGATGGCTACAGGAAGCGTTTGTCTGCAGTTATCTTGGCCAAAGGCTGTGCTACCAAGTACTAGCTCCGGGGTGCCAATAATTTGGTCCATGCCATTTGTCTTTATTCTCTAAATAAAAATGGTAAACTTAACTATTTTGTGTATTTTTATAAAACGTTTGACCCTTTTCTCCCCAATTTCGTGATAGCCAATTGGTAGTTATTAGTCTTGTCCCATCGCTGCAACTCCCGTCCTCCGAAACACGACCCTGCCAAGCCGCACTGCTTCTTGACACTGCTCGCTTAACCCGGAAGCCAGACGCAACAATGTGTCTAACTTAAGTTAACAAAAATAAATTTGGTTCTGCAATGCTGAAAAACAACGTGTGGTGAGCAAAAGTCTTTTTCAATTTAAACTTATTTGAGAAGAAATAGGGAAATATTTAAGAAAAGTGCTAGGGTGCCCATATAAACAACTGTATATCTTCTAGAGTTTGCCGTGTAGCCTACCAAGCTAGTGACTTTCCTATCCTTTAATATGTAACACCACTGCTGTAGGAACTGAATGTTCAACAACAAACACTTCATCGATATAGGCAGCTAAAACACTGAAAGCATTGAATTGATTCACTTTCTTGCAGCTTCCACTGGAGTCACTGGTGTGGATCTTCCGGGATGTGCTGTGTGTGGAGGGGAAGAGAGGCAACTGGAACCTGTCTCTGGTCTGCAGAACCTTCAATACCATCCTGACAAATGAAATCATCAGGAAGTACTCCATAGGGAAGGTTAGTATCGACAACGACATACGTCTACAAGCTTATGGGACACTGGCAATGTTTTTGGAGAGTAACTCATTGATTCAAGGTCATGGAGCGCTCAGAGAAGAATTTCATAATTTATACCATACCTTTCCCCAAAAATCTTTCCAGATAAAGCAACGTCTCAAATCTCATTACATGATTGTAACATTGTTACAAACATGTTGCAAACCAATTATTTATATACTAGATTACTGATAGGGGGTGCTGTGTTGAAGCCATGAGTTGGTTTATTTCTCTTATAACAGAGAACTTTTTAACTTTAAGCATGTTCGTTGTGACAATCTTAGTTTAGCCTGATTATTTTCAACACTTTGCTTCACAAATACTGTATGAATTTATGCTATAAAAACTTTTACCTTTTTAAACAACAACAACCAACATGAAGCAATATATCAATCTGCAGTCAAATGTTTAGTGTCACTTTTTATAACATTTTTACAAATGGCTCCAGAATACAAAATAACAGTCAGGGGTGAAAAAATAACAGGTAACAACCTTTAAGACAGAGCAATCATACACCTCATTCAATTTACAATAAATTCAGAAAACACAATCCCAAATCAATACAACACAACCTATAATTTACGTGCATGAACTGCCTGGTGTCTTATTAGATTGCTCAGAAAGGAGAAGTTCTTTCCACACTGGGTGCAGTGGAACAGTTTCTCACCCGTATGGACGCTCTGATGCACTTTTAGGTTGCTGGAACGAGAGAACTGTTTTCCGCATTGAGCGCATCTGAAAGGTTTCTCCCCTGTGTGTACTCTCTGGTGCCGCTTCAGGCTGCCCAGCTGGCTGAACTGCTTCCCACACTGGGCGCACTCATACGGTTTCTCCCCTGTGTGGACCCTCTGGTGCATCTTGAGCTGGCACTGATGAGGGTACTCCCTCCCGCAGAAGGTGCACCTGTAGGACCTCGCCCCCTCCTCCCCCACTCCTCTGTCCTGATGAGTCCCAGTCATGTCGCCCAGGTGGGTGTCGGGGGCGCTCCCAGGGAAATCCACCCAGGAGGGGTACTGCAGCTCTCCGGTTCCCGTGGCGAATGGAGCAGTGGCGGTGGTTGCGGGGTTCTGAAAGGTGCCAAGGCGGTTGTCGAAAGCGCCGTCCATGCCAATGGTGTAGAACAGATTCTCATGTGAGTTCTGTCTCGCTGCTGCCTGGACACCTGGGTGAGGATGATGATGAGTGTTACTCGAATGTCCTCCAAGAAGCATGGCATCTGCTTCACTATGTCCTCCTTGATGATGCCTGGGTTCCATGATGTCACCTTGTCCCCAGGAAGAGGGCGTGTCATCCCCACCCTCCCCCTCGTCAACAGGAAGGGGGTCGATAACTATGACCTCAGATTTGACCTCTGAAACGCCCTGGGAATTCTCGTGTTCACCCCTCACCATCTGAGGAAGTGGGGGAATGGGGTTCATCTTTGTGAGAGGCGAGGGGCTTCCTGAGACTGTCTCGGCAGCATAACTAGAACAAGATGGCCGCTCAGTCGCTGTATCACTGCCTCTTTGCTTACGGGAGGTTCCAGGCAGATCGGTTGTTCTCTCGGGGTTCAGGCTGCACTTCTGTTTAGCAACAGGTCCTGGAACCGTGAGTTGGAGCGCCTGGCTCAGCCTCTCAGGCTCCAGGTCTGACTTGAAAACAGTGTTTGATCTGTTGACATTCACTATGCTGTGTTTGGTTCTGAGCTGCTCAGTGAGCTCTGCTTGGTCTGTGTCTGGAGAGATCTGTGAGTCCGGGCCCGGTATTCTCTGGCCACTGTCAGTGCCTGAAGAGACAACAAAAGCATGATGGTCATATGCAGTCAAATAAAACAATGAGGTAGTCAATCAGTATGTCATTTTTCCTTACAGCCACCATTACAGCAATCCATTCAGCATTACCTGGCATCTCCCTCAGATCCTCTTCTTTCTTCCATGGCTGGAGGTCTCTCGCCCCTTCCACAGTAGATTTGGCCTGAAAAGAGGAGGGAAGAATTAAGTTGACAGGCATGAGCCTTACAAAGCTCTCAAACAAATACAGGTCTATTATAACTCAGCTATGACTAGGCTATATTATTGATCCAACAGCTTGAATTAAGTTGTTAATTTACTGACTAAACTCATGGACACAGCAAATCTAAAGCTTCTCTGTCCTCAAAACATATAAAACTAAAATTGGACAGCAATAATTCACTGTACTTATAATAGGAAAATGTCCTTTCCTTCCAATATATTTAGGTCAATGTGAGAATATACACTACCAGTCAGAAGTTTGGACACACCTACTCATTCAAGGGTTTTTCTTTATTTTTACTATTTTTTACATTGTAGAAAAATTGTGAAGACATCAAAACAATGAAATAACACATATGGAATCAGATAGTAACCAAAAAAGTGTTAAACAAATCAAAATATATTTGAGATTCTTCAAATAGCCACCCTTTGCCTTGATGAAATTTGCACACTCTTGGCATTCTCTCAACCAGCTTCATGAGGTAGTCACCTGGAATGCATTTCAATTAACAGGTATGCCGCCTTAAAAGTTACCATCAAGCGCTATGTTGAAACTGGCTACCACAGCATTCTGTAGCGATACGCCATCCCATCTGGTTTGGGCTTAGTGGGACTATCATTTGTTTTTCAACAGGACAATGGCCCAAAACACCTCCAGGCTGTGTAAGGGCTATTTTACCAAGAAGGAGAGTGATGGAGTGCTGCATCAGATGACCTGGCCTCCACAAGCCCCCGACCTCAACCCAATTGAGATGGTTTGGGTTGAGTCGGACTGCAGAGTGAAGGAAAAGCAGCCAACAAGTGCTCTGCATATGTGGAAACTCCTTCAAGACTGGTGAAAATGGTTGAGAGAATGCCAAGAGTGTGCAAAGCTGTCATCAAGGCAAAGGGTGGCTATTTGAAGAGTCTTAAATATAAAATATGTTTTGATTTGTTTAACACTTTTTTGGTTACTACATGATTCCATATGTGTTATTTCATAGTTTTGATGTCTTTGCTATTATTCTACAATGTAGAAAATAGTAAAAATAAAGAAAAACCATTGAATGAGTAGGTGTGTCCAAACTTTTGACTGGTACTGTATATTTAGAGTCAAGAAGCACCATGAAATTATTTGAGAAATATTATTTATTGATGGAATTATAGAAATTGATAAACATGCAGCAATAGCCATTGGTCAAATTGATACAAAAGAACAGACAGTTTTTCACTCTCACAGTACAACTGCAGGATTCTGCCATAACTTTAGAGAAACACAACCATTATCAACCTTAACAGACAATGTGAGTGATCCTGTTGACACTAAAAGAGCCAAGGAGACAAAAAAACGTAACAGTCTTTGTAGATAATGTAAATATGAACCACGTTGTATTGTAGATGTATGAGACCAGGGCAAACATCCTGCAGACATATGACTACGTTAGAACTCATGATATTGCTATAACAGCATTTTTCAATAGGAATCTCTTGATTCTGTGTCAGTTGTCAATGATGAAGCTTCTGATGTCTTTTCAGATTGCTGGAGTGGGAGAACCTGCGCCCGCACTGTGCACAACTGAAGGGCTTCTCGCCAGTGTGGACGTTCTGGTGCATTTGGAGATGGCTGGCGCACACAAAGCTCTTCTCACACAAGGTGCAGGCGAACGGCCGCTTTCTGGTGTGGATGACAGCGTGCTGCTGCAAGTCGCTCTCATGGACAAACTTCTTATGGCAGCTCGGGAAACCGTACGGTCGTTCTACGGTGCCTGGTCTAACGTCTGTGGCGAGATTACTCGAGTGACAGGAAGTTGTGGCGCTTGGTCTAAAATGCTGACAGGAAGTGGGGTATGAGCTGGTTCTTGAGCTCCTCTTCCTGGTATTTCAGAATGTCTATGGAGGCTTGCCAACGAACACCAACTAGCTTTGTTGGCCTCACCTGCATTTCCTGTGCCAAGATGCATGCCTGTATTTATCTCTGAGGGCCAGAAACGGGGTGAAACCAATTGCATAGTGTTGTCTCTCATCGAATCGGGTTGAATCATTGGTGTGTTTCTGTTAAACACTTCCACTTCCTGCTTATTTCCAGTCCCATTGACCTGTGGTGTAGTAGCTGTACCCATCTGACCCCACTCAAAATCTCTATCTACCTGCTGCCCACTGGATACAGAGTCAATCACTATCACATGTTCTGATGAGGAATGGAACCTGTGGTTTTCTAACCTTACACTTCTCATTTCTATGGCAGAGCTAGTCTGCATTTCTGGGCCCACTGGGCCACTCCCTAGGTCCATCATCAGTCACTACTACCTCTCTCAACACCTGGTTTAAAGAATCTCTTAGGAGATTGAAGCCACCGTTCATGTCACACTTTGTGTCCAGACTCTGTCTCTCTGCTCTGGGTTCAAATCCTGTGTTCTGCTGGGGTCCCTGGTTCACATTCCCTGTTTCTGATTGGAGGAGGATGGTGTCAGAACCACTGACCTCCATAGCGGTGTTGATGTTGCCTCTGGGCTGGAAGGCGGGGTCCTCTGTGGTGGCTGCAGCCGGTTGGGTGGTTAGCTCTCTGCTGCCCTCCACTGTTCTGGCTGGGTGGCTGGTCCTAGAGTCCTGGTCATCTGCTTCTCCCTCTTCCTTGATGATCAGCAGGTCTGGTTCCCCGTCCTCTGTCTCTGCTGACTGCTGATGGGGTTAAGTGGGAAAGATGAGTGAGTGAGACAGAGCATACACTATCTACTGAATGGAGATATGGGCATGACATGGGATTTAGTCAAATTCATAGTAGTTGCCTTGTTGTTATTGTGTTATAATCAGTGGTGTAGTGGAGGGTAAACTCCACCTTTAGTTTTTTGTTCAAACATTTACACACTTTTTGCGCAAAAAATGCACTGAAAGTATAGGGAGTGTTACTTTACTCAACATGAACGACGATCACTGTTTACCCACCTATTCTTTACCACTACACCACTGGTTATAATGTGCTGGCATACACGTCTATACAGACATAACCTCTTCCCCAGGCGGAAGTGTCTGGTGTCCTGAGACTAAAACAGACATAGGTCTGTGACAGTTTGAAATCGGCTGTTAAAATTGGGATTTACAGTGAGGGAAAAAAGTATTTGATCCCCTGCTGATTTTGTAAGTTTGCCCACTGACAAAGAAATGATCAGTCTAATTTTAATGGTGGGTTTATTTGAACAGTGAGAGACAGAATAACAACAACAAAATCCAGAAAAATGCATGTCAAAAATGTTATAAATTGATTTGCATTTTAATGAGGGAAATAAGTATTTGACCCCTCTGCAAAACATGACTTAGTACTTGTTGGCAAAACCCATGTTGGCAATCAGAGGTCAGACGTTTCTTGTAGTTGGCCACCAGGTTTGCACACATCTCAGGAGGGATTTTGTCCCACTCCTCTTTGCAGATCTTCTCCAAGTCATTAAGGTTTCGAGGCTGACGTTTGGCAACTCGAACCTTCAGCTCCCTCCACAGATTTTCTATGGGATTAAGGTCTGGAGACTGGCTAGGCCTCTCCAGGACCTTAATGTGCTTCTTCTTGAGCCACTCCTTTGTTGCCTTGGCTGTGTGTTTTGGGTCATTGTCATGCTGGAATACCCATCCACGACCCATTTTCAATGCCCTGGCTGAGGGAAGGAGGTTCTCACCCAAGACGTGACGGTACATGGCCCCGTCCATCGTCCCTTTGATGCGTTGAAGTTGTCCTGTCCCCTTAGCAGAAAAACACCCCCAAAGCATAATGTTTCCACCTCCATGTTTGACGGTGGGGATGGTGTTCTTGGGGTCATAGGCAGCATTCCTCCTCCTCCAAACACGGCGAGTTGAGTTGATGCCAAAGAGCTCCATTTTGGTCTCATCTGACCACAACACTTTCACCCAGTTCTCCTCTGAATCATTCAGATGTTCATTGGCAAACTTCAGACGGGCATGTATATGTGCTTTCTTGAGCAGGGGGACCTTGCGGGCGCTGCAGGATTTCAATCCTTCACGGCGTAGTGTGTTACCAATTGTTTTCTTGGTGACTATGGTCCCAGCTGCCTTGAGATCATTGACAAGATCCTCCCGGTGTAGTTCTGGGCTGATTCCTCACCGTTCTCATGATCATTGCTACTCCACGAGGTGAGATCTTGCATGGAGCCCCAGGCCGAGGGAGATTGACAGTTCTTTTGTGTTTCTTCCATTTCTTCCATTAATCACACCAACTGTTGTCACCTTCTCACCAAGCTGCTTGGCGATGGTCTTGTAGCCCATTCCAGCCTTGTGTAGGTCTACAATCTTGTCCCTGACATCCTTGGAGAGCTCTTTGGTCTTGGCCATGGTGGAGAGTTTGGAATCTGATTGATTGATTGCTTTTGTGGACAGGTGTCTTTTATACAGGTAACAAGCTGAGATTAGGAGCACTCCCTTTAAGAGTGTGCTCCTAATGTCAGCTCGTTACCTGCATAAAAGACACCTGGGAGCCAGAAATCTTTCTGATTGAGAGGGGGTCAAATACTTATTTCCCTCATTAAAATGCAAATCAATTTAAAAAAATTTGACATGCGATTTTCTGGATTTTTTTGTTTTTATTCTGTCTCTCACTGTTCAAATAAACCTACCATTAAAATTATAGACTGATCATTTCTTTGTCAGTGGGCAAACGTACAAAATCAGCAGGGGATCAAATACTTTTTTCCCTCACTGTACCTCATCACTACCTCATCACAAGAGACATCCTCTTGGTCCACGTCTATGGGCTGTCTGTCTCTTTGAATGCTGCTGTTCCCAAAACTCCTGTTGGAAAGTCTGGCTCTGCTTTGCCAAGTAGGTCCTGGAAATAAAGGGGGAGGTTAATTTGACCCCATCCATCAATGGTGTTTTACAAAGTACAAAGCAAGCATAATGCATTCATGACGTATGTTATGTGTCAATAGAGCTAGAAGGATCCTAGCTGTGTTGACAGTACAAAGTAAGCATGATACATCCTCAAATCAAATGTAATTGGTCGCATACACATATTTT